CGTGTGCGTGTGCGTGTGCGTGTGCGTGTGCGTGTGCGTGTGCGTGTTTTTGTGTGTATACATATATACATATAATTGCTACAAGTATCGACTATGGAACGATCAATAACATTACCTATTGTGACAATTAATAATCGCGGCTTAAGGCACTTCCATTGTTTTTTTTTCTACAGTCGTGGTGGACTATGGCCTACATCTTTTTCTTCAACGATGTTTTTTTATAATATCAAGATGGTTGATCTACTCCGAGCATTGTGACGTATACGTACTCATTTTTTCAGTCTCGCCGGTCACTACATTCCGTTCGTACCAGGATTCAACATATATCCTGGTACCAAGTATGGTGTGAGAGCATTCTCAGGTACTCTTGTCAACGAGCTGGCTCAACTTAAGAGCAAAATCAAAGTTACGGTAAGGACTGTTTACTTTTATTGTTTTGGCAATTCATATGTTATGTTACCATGAATAGTTTGAAAAATTTTTTTTTATTCAAACCTACCAATAATCAGATGGATGGTCAACCATCATAGAGTAACAAATATTTTTTTCACCTCACTAGTTCGGAAAGACTTTTTTCTCATTAGAAATCTGCACGCAAAAGCATTTTTGCACGCTAGCGTGGAAAAGGTTTTGCAATTCGAACTTGACGATGGACTGTGTATTGTTGTGAATTTCGAACCGCCCGTGGTTATGGTTGTAACATGTATATATAAATTTAATGGTTATGCCGTAAATAAAGCCTGTCTACTTGTATATTCTTCAGAATCTGTCTCCGGGCTTGGTGAGAACAGAGATGGCAGTGGAGGCGACGAAGGCTGTTGACTTCATGCCGCTTGAGCCTCAGGATATAGCCGATGCTGTTCTTTATGCCGTGGCCACACCACCTAATGTTAATGTAAGTTTCCATTTGTTGGTATCGTAACTTTTCATCTCGGCGTAGATCAAAAACTTTTAAGTCTGTAATAATAATTCCCTCTCCAGTGCAGTTCATTATTTTAATTAAAAAAAAAATCATTTGAGGGCTGACCATAATTTAAGTTGTACCAGAATGTCATGGCACTAAATAAAAGAAAAATCGAACGATGTTGGCTTGTCACATTTTCGTATCCTGGATTATTCATATTTGAACTGACACCGTTCTTATTGAAATGCCTAACACTGCAGACTTAAAATGAAGAAGATTAAACTGCCTCCGTGGCCGAAAGGTTCCATTAAAGGTTGTCATGCAGAGGTCCCAGGTTCGATTCCCGGGTTGGGAGAAATATTTGTATGGCCTACATTTAGTTCTCACGTGAGTTTGAGTGTAATTTGTGGTTGTCTACGTGTGTGTCCATGGCATCCGCGACACAGGGTTTCCCTAGTGCGGGGCTATGTTGAGTGTGTATGTTAGTATTATTACGTTATTAATAAAGGAAAAGAGAAACTAGTGACTAGGCAGTATGGTCTTTGGCCTTATCCTGTTCCATGCGAAACAAAGAAAAAACATATCAATTAACTACCCGTAACAATTACTTTAATTTGAAAGTAACGATTTTGTTACGATCTGATGCAAGAAATATTGTTTATAATTTTTATCGCAAAATGAGTGATGAATTAAGACGATTTGAAAATTGGTCTAAAAGCTTACGTACTTATTTAGGTTAGTAGGATTGAATAGACTTGATCAGAAGATAATAGTATAACACTGAAATTCCCCTCGTCCATACAAGGATACATATATTCTGGTTAATTAAATATATAAAATATATTTTTACATTTACTAAATTTTTTTTCACCCTATATTTATGTTGCTAACTATAGTCCATTTGTTTAAGTAATTAACTAAATGTAAACAATCTTGAAACATCTTTTTATTGAAACATATACTTTACAAATCAATAGGAATTAAAAATAGGCATGCAATTTCATATGAAATTAAGTATTTGTATTTTGTATTTGAAGATTGTTTGCATTTAGTTAAGTACGTAAACAAATGGACTATACACATTTACATTTGACTAAGTGCCATCAGATTTTGGTACACTCATTCGTTACATATAATGGAAAGCTGTCATAATTTTTTCCACAAGTAATTGAAGTTTTACAAATTCACAACATCCATTTTTATTGTTTTATTTTTAATTATTTACAGATCACCGAGTTGACGATCCAACCGGTGAACGAGAAGAGATTGTAAATTGTAAGAAAAATATAAATGCACAAATGTGATTCGTTTGATTGGCTACGTACGTTCTTTACTACACTACCCATAAGTACTATTAAATTTATCCTTACATTCTTAAGAACATTTTTTACATTCATTCATTCACTCATGATTTCATTCGTTTTTTTTATAGTATTAAGTGACGTGCGCCTGATAGTAAGCTACACGTCTATCCATAACAGTTGCAATGCCACTCAAAGCTTTAAATCGCAAAGATCTGAGACATAAGTTGACAAGTCTCATTGCCTGTAATTTCACCAGCACCCATATATCCTTCAAAACCGGAACACAGTAATGTTGACATTACTGCTTGGCGGCAGAAATAGACAAGATGGCAGTATTACCCTGGATGACCTCTGTCACAAGGAGCTCTACTGCTCCTAAAATATATTTATTTAACTTCTTTCTAGCGTGCCGCTTCTCTACGAAAGTTGGCGACCATATATGGCTATCCTCATTTTTGAAGCTGCCCCACGAAAAAATGTACTAAGATTGAACCAGTCTCTCAGATTCTTCAACCACTAGGTTTCCCTTCTACCACGACTACGGTTTCCTTAGATTTTCCCCTGCAATATTAGATGAAGAACCTGGTATTTATTACCACTTATTATGTGGCCAAAATATACGCGGCTAAGTGACAAAATAATTTTTTGAGATATTATAAACAACCAGAATCCTGTTCAATGATATTTCAGCTATGCATCGAACACGTTAACTAATTTTTAACTTTTTTTAAAAGAGAATTTTGTGATCTATTTTTTTGCTATTTAAATCGGATATTTGATCATTTGTCACTTAGCCACGCTTTAGTTAGTGGACGGCAGCTATACAGTTGTGAGAATTTCCAACTTTTTCCCATTTGACGTAGAACCTCAACATTGGTGACTCTTTAGATCCGAGATATGCCAAGCATATGTCTATAGAGTCACATCTCAAACGGCTCCGGTTTTGAGCATAATGCTAGGGTCAAGGTGCAACACTCCAAACCACAAGGCATAATTTATTCAACTGTTCTCGAAAATTAATTATCTATGGCGACACATATTTTCGCGGGTTTATAAATAATCATCATCATCTCAGCCCGTTAACACCCACTACTAGGTGTAGGCCTCCTCTTTTGCACTGAAACTGGACGAAATGTGGAGTCCTTTCTATCCCTGCTGTAGCGCATCTGTCTGTTTTATTTTTGTTTTTTTGACAGTTTACAGTAGTACAATTTTTCATCTTACGGTACAAGCGAAGGCGTCCAAAAACCACTTTGCCAAATATTAGATTTTAATTTTTCTTTAATATTTTACTTTTCTTACATTGTTTTGCGGGAAATCTATCTATCATTATATCTTTGTCTATTTATCATAACAATCGACGGTTTCCATTGAAATAAAAGACAGTAATAGTAGTAAAGTTCACATATATTACACAACAACAGTATATGGCACGTGATTGAGTAACAAGTATTAACCAGTGGAGGCCGAAGATGAAGACGACGAAGCCACGCCAAGAACACTGGTGCCGAACTGCAGCAGAGCTCGCAGGATGTCCATTTTCAGGGTCCAAAGAGGTGACGCTGCTTCGCCTGCTGTTTTCGTGGCACCCTGCTGGAATGACATGGATTTGGTTATTTGTGTCGTTGAAAAAATAGGCTAGAAAGCAGTAATGAAATAAAATGTTTGTAGGCGAGAGGTAAAGAAATTTAAGTGCCAAATAGTACTTTTCACCACGGAGCGTTTTAAAGAGAATTAGGCTAGAATCAATCTAAGGTCAAATAAAATATGTTAAATAAAAAACAAACGACGATAGAACTTAACGTCTTTTGCTATTGCGTGATTTCTAGCAATGTTTGTAAAAACATCTAAATTCCAAAATATGCACTTAAGGTCCTTTACCTTTCACTTACAAATATTAACACGCATCTCACAAGGTAAACACACATTGATTTAAATAGGGTGATCCTTAGATACAGTATGGTACATACTACAAGATACAGTGTTAAGAAATGCGACTACGACCATACTACCATTGTTAAAAATCCGGCACTTGGTCAAGAGAGCTTCAAGTTTGACATTTAAGATTCAATTTCACTCTATGCCGTTTGTCATAAGAACGGTTATAGTCCAAATTGCCCGTCTAACTTTACCCAAATCATACCATTATCAAATGGAATTATTTGAAGCTGTGGCCGTGTGACTAAATTACCTTCGTAAGTAATATATAGAAAATATTTCAGTGTTAAATTAAATGTTTAGGTAGAGTTGCTATGAAAGATGATACAGTTATCGGTGGTGTAAGATATACGATAATAAACAATCATAATTAGATTTAGTAGTTGGGTAATAAACACGTATTAAAGTTAGCAAAGGATTTGCAAATAGAATTCATCAAAATGAATTCTATTTGTAAATCTTTTATGCCAAAAGGATAGGTATACAGTAAATTTTGAAGAAGAGAAGTAGTTAAGAAGATAACGCAAGAAAGTGCACAAGTGTAGAGGAATACAAGCAAACGAAAGAAAATAAAGTGCTGTAACAAAACAAGGTGATAGTGAATAATAAACACAGAAACATAACATTTTATTAAGAAAAGTGTAACAATAGATGGAAAGATCCCAACAAAAATCATATAGTAATGTATGCTTCTTACCGTTAAAATGTACTGCGAACTAAAATATTATAAGAACAACCTTGGGTTTAAAAAAACAATTTTCATTTGTACAAACAATCATATACACCACAGTCATGACATGACATCAAAGCCAAAATTACAAAACAATAACCGTCAACCGTCAAAATCAAAGTTTCGTTTAATACCACATTTGGATTTAATAAATTATCACAGTCACTTTACCTTGATGAAAAATTTAAGTTCTTAACATTGTATAAAGGATAACATTTTAAGGTTTTGAATAAAAATGTTTTAGGTAGGTAATTAATTTGATGCAAAAAAATTCTCTTTGTTAGTTCAGAAATCCAATAGAACCATTCTTAAGATAACTTCATAGTTGTTTTAACAATCGCTCTCGTGTCAAGGGAATTATTTTCTGTCACGATTCGTGGCAGCTGCTGCAGCTACTACTGCTGCTACCTTTCGTTGACATCTTTGACATTTCACCGAGTAATGCCATTAGGAAACTTGCGAAGAACCCAGCGGAATCCTTAGGGCGTTCCCCACCGTTTTCTTCTGAACTTGCATCTGGATCTCCTCCCTGAAATGTACTTGATAGCTTCAGTCTTAAAAAATCACCAGCATTTTTTGAGGTTGTTTATTGCATTACTTTTTCATAGCAATCAATTGTCACATTAAGTTAAAGAATAAGCGGCTAAAGATTTTGATACTCACCGCACTGGTGCCGCTTATTAATTTTGATAGGAAAGTACCGAAGAAGGCACCGTTGTTTTGCTAAAAAGAAATCAGCATATTAATAACGATGTAGACTAAGATGAAATCACGAACAAAACAGGATTAATAAGTAAACGTTACATACCGATCCCCCTCCAGTAATGGTATCAAGTGAAGTTAGAAGGTAGCTAGCAATAATTGCTCCTGGATTTTCTTCTCCTTCAGACTGAAATTTGAATGAAAGATGTAATGTGTATATTGTTTTTTTATAATAAATAAAAATGTGTACTTGATAAAGATACACAACATCATAAAAGATAACTTTATGAACACTTACCAATAAACCAACAAACAGACCGATACCAGATGCAATAAGAGCGTTTAAATCAATTCCATCGCCCTACAAGCAAATTAATCAAATTAACAAAATGTGAAAAGATAAATAAAAATCTGACACAAAAAATAATCGTCGACTTACACTGAGATTAGCGACTATACCACTGACTGTAGCTAACAAGGATCCTAAATCAGATTGGCCATCCTCCTGAAAACGTATACATAATTTGAAACTTCCCACACGACTGGAAGGTATCACGACAAACTATTAATTTAGAAACATTACTAGTGGTTTAACACTTACTCCACCACTCAATCCTGCCAAAAGCCCTAATATTCCACCTCCTTGCCCATCGCCTTCAGGAGGTTCATCAGAACCGTAATCAGAGGTATCTCCATTATCACCATTGGAATCTTGCTTGGATTTTGAATCACCATTTGAAGCATTCTCATTTCCATTGCCGTTGCCACCATTACCTTTGGCTGGTTTGACGTCTTCTACACTTTCTTCTGCTGCATTATTTTCATCACTTCGATTATTATTATCACCATTACCATCATCATCTTCTAAAGATTCGCTCTCGGAATCACTTCTACTTTCTCTATCATCGATATCTTCACTGTTATTTTCTTTAGTGTCTTGTCTTTGGAAAGGCGGTGGTTTCAAGTCTATGTAATCAATATCTATTTCATTATCTAGTACATCTTGTCGTCGATTGATTTGAAATTGAAATTGATTGCGCATCAGATACTCGCGTATTAAGTTTTGTATTAATATCTGGAAGAAAATGTTTGTCATAATTTATACTACTAATATTTAAAACGTTAGCTGTGTTTCTAGCTTTCTAATCTGTAAACTATACCCAAGCACGTTTAATGATATGATAACCGTCACCACTGGTAGTTGTATAACGATGAAAAATATTACTATAACGGTTGAAAATGAATAACATACTGCACGTATATGTACCGATGGACTGAATATTATAAAGACATGTAAGAGGGATGCTTATTCTTTCAAATAATAACTCTCTCATTTGAAATAAAAGTTATCCCTGTCAGTTATCAAGTGCGTAATTTTGGAGGAAAAAAAAACAAAAGAATACTTACATTTTATCACATTGCCAATCAAAACTCGTTCCACTCGAAATAACATTCGTGCTGTGCTTTTGTAATGTGCATAAAAAACAAACAAATCGTGAGGTGTTTACACAATAAAACGTTTTGTGGTCGTTTTCGTCCTGATTATCTTGTGCTGCATCTTTACTTTACATTACAGTACAGTTCTAGAGTCTACAAGTTGATGATTTTTGAGTTGTTCATACGAATTATAATTACTCGGAAAAAGATTATTCACACAGACATTTCGGAGTGAATAAAGCCTCAAGTGGGATATGAAAGATTTTTTTTGGATCTAAATTGGTTATATTTGTTTATTCAACCAAACCAACGTTTCGGGTCTTTTACAGGTCGCATGGTCATGGCTGACTGAGATGATTTTGAGATTTCAGTTAGTTTGATTGAAAATAGAAATATACGTGAGTTAGATCCGATGCGTAAAACTTGTGAAAATCTATAAAAAACCTCTAGTATACCGGTAATTAATCTTTAAATTTCATCCATACTTAACATTAAGGGAGTCAACACTCAACAATGTTGTGTGTTTCGCATTTGGCAGTTCAAGCGGAAGCGACGTGTGCAACGTTGTTTTCGCTGTTTCTGCATGAATTTAAACCTTTTTCTAACTGACTCAAGCCAGTTCCGCTTTAATTAGTGTTACTTGCACTGTTAATAGTGTATACTCCTTAATTGGTTATTGCAATATAAAACCAATGTAATGGCAAGAACAAGTTACGATTGAAGCGTTTTTTAGTTTGTTTTGAGTTTACGTAAGCCGTATGTCAACAACTTGGTCCAATGCGGAATAAGTATGGTGATCTTGACTTTTAGAGGACATTCATTTTTCATTTTGTCAAAAATAACTGTATCTATGTTTTGCAAAACCAAATTGCAAATAGTTTTACAAAAAGTACTTAATCGGTTGTAGGTAAGCCTAAATCGTGTTTAATACGATGTAACATGATGCTTAGTAGCGGTAGACCTTTTTGTGAAAGAGTTCGTCCACAGAAGTACAGCACCTTATCTATTTCTACCGCCAAGTAGCAATATAGCATAGCTGTATTCCAGTTTCGAAGGGTCAGGATGCTGGTGAAATTACAGGCACGTGGACTTGTTAAAGCTCTGAGTGGCATTGCTTTGGACAAGCGTATCACTTACGACCAGGCGAACGACTTGTTCGTTTCTTTACTGGGTATCATAAAAATTTTTAAAACATCCTTGTAAACCATATTTAGATCTTTGTCCCTTGTGTTTAGCTTGTCTTTTGCGTGCGTCGAAATTTTCACACGAAAGGTTCGATTCCTGGACCAATTTGGGAAACTATTTTATTACTCAAATTATAAGAAATTCTCTAGTTTGAGATCAGGTAATTGGTCCACATTATATTGCATTCAGCTTTTTTATATCAAGTGACGAGACAAACAAGTCGTGGACCTGGTGGTAAACGACACGCCTACCCTCAACTGTTGACGAATCTCTCAAAAATTGAACTCGCAAAGATCTGAGCAGGATTCAAAACTGGAACGCAGTAATGTTCACATCAAAAGTTTAAACTTTTTTTTATAGTGTTGTTTTATGTAAGAGCACACTACATTATGGTATAATTGTAATTTTATTCTCGTTTTAATTAGGTATAGTCGTTCATGTAATTTAATTTTATGTTTTTCATATGTTAAGTATTTAAAACCATTTACATCTTTGCGCTGAAAATCAGCGCTGATGCTCTGCCCAGTTTGAAGCTGATCTGGCTAGCTTTTTGGCTATTCTTGTGTATTTTAGTTAATTTAATTTAATTTTTGTTTTTTATTCAACATCTTAACTGGTATTGATATGTTTCAAATACTTTTGTGAATAGCCAAATTTCTTTCTTTCCTCCTGATATTACAGCTTGGTGGCAGAAATAGGTAGATGGCAGTCAGTCCCTTTCTCTTTCACAAAGAGCAATTGCTCCCGAGCCCCATTGCTATTAAAACATGGCTATTGTAGTGCGTTTAATCAATGCTCACAGGTAACGTAACAGCAAGGAAAATTGGGAATATATTTCCCAAATCATGAAATATTAATAGTTACAATTAGTTGAAACTAGTAGTCACGCCTGACTTGAAAGTAACTTGGCAACAAGGTAACTTGAGCTGGTTCAACGAACTCTGTATAGGTCATGCTGATAATATTAATTTCAAGGGCTTTTATTAACTGAATAATACGACATGATTTTTGGATCTATAACTTAGCACAGTTAATTTGTAAACGTTCAGATTTTTGGACCTAGTACTGATCTTTGCGAGACTACTAATTTTTAAAATTTTATGCGGTTTTACATGTGAGACGCTGATTTTTTACATTTTACACGGTTTGCCCATCACATAACAATATATTAGTTAAATGAAATTACAAACTGCTTGTAAGTAAATATAGAAACTTTTAGGGCTTAATTGGCACCTTGCGGAACACCTAAAATTAATTGTTTTAACCATTGACTTCTTTGACATAGTTTTCAAAAAGATTCCTTTGAATTTTAGTTAATTTGTTGGTAAAGAAAGTTATTTTTTATGTTACTCAATCGATTTTGTTTACCTATTTATGGTAACGTTGTAAAATTGCTACAGCGTGTGGTGTTAGTTGAAGCTATACCCAAAGCAACCGCAAATCACACGCATGACTATTTACGATTAAAATTTCACTGCGGTTACCCATCGAAGTTATGTTAGTCGTACACGTACGTATCTATTGTAATTGGTCTCGAAACTCTCAAATGGTTGCAAGAAAATATTTTATATCTCATAATTATTATTTTAGAAAAGTTTTTGTATTTTGTTATGTATCAAAATACATATTGCGTAAATATATTTATTTAATTTCAGTTGCATCCACTAGAAAGTTAGTTCGGAAACAGGGCATAGGAACAAAAATCTATAAACTGTTACTGTTCGCCGCTAGCAGCAAACGCAATGAGCATGTTAAAACCAACATCGTCTAAATAGTTTTAAGCCTTGTATCGTTTCCTCTATCCTTGTGCACGTATTCTACGGGCATTTCTCTAATGTTATTTCATGAAGATTATTCATCGTTTGTACTTACATTGCCTCCGCTAGAAGAGCTAGGGAACAGAGCATTGGCTAGTCTTAGAAGACTGAAGATATTGCTACCCCCACCGGTAGTCGCCGCGGGTGTAACGGGTTCGTCGAAATCTTCATCATCGTCATCGTCGTCGTCACTTTCGACTGGAGTTGCGAAATCAACTTTGTTCGTTGTCGTGTCTATTGATACTTTTGAAGGAGAATCTGCTTCTGCGTCTGCGTCTTCTTTCTGTTCGGCAATAAATAACATAAATGGTAAATGACGAATGTCGACAATACAATGTGTAATATTCCGTTAAAGATAAAAGCGTTTCCCAAAACACTTCCTTGACAGTCCCGACACTACAGAAGGGAGATAAGTTGCTACGGGAAGCTAAATACAAGCGAGGAACACATTGTGTCAGGAAAAAAGTGGGAGTTCGGTCTAGGACTATTATAAGATAAGAACTGACAGCGGAGTCGCGTCGACCTGTCATCTTGACCACTTACTCCCTGCTTCTCTAATTCTTTTCCTCTAAGTCACATACACATACTTACAGTTTACTTACATCTTTCTATGTCATTAAACATGTACTACTTTTTATGTCATAAAATGTATTTCTTACGTATATGGAATGTATATAACGCAAGAAATGTTGGTTTCAGATATTTAGCCAATGACAATATGCCGTTAAAATCAAAAACATAGAGTCTATAAGACGACTTATCGTTTCATAGCTCAATTGGGTGATCGATAGTCCCGATAATGCGAAAAAGTCGCCGGAAAAAGTTCCAGCCGAATAGAAAGAGTTTTTCTTTAAGTTTGTTCGATCTGTATCAATAATAACAATGGTCTATTTTCAAACAATGGTTTTTCATGTACAATGTAGTATCAGAGTAAAGAAATCGACTTCTTTTGGAGTTTGAGCATGACGATAATAAACGTTTTAATTTCCGAAGACTACAACTACTTCAAGAAACCTATGCTTCAGAAATGAGAAAATGTATTAGGTAATACGAAAGAAATAACTTACGGGGCTATCTAGGTTATTCGCTGAGTCTTCCTGACGTCTCGGTCTGATTTCTGAACCGGCTCCCATCTGTAACAGGCAATTCATCAATATATTTACGGTGGTGGTTACTATTGAAATTAATGAAGCTGGAAAGGAACATGTTGCACACACTGTGGTATGTCTATGTCACAGCCGTTACGTAGATTGTGGCTGAATTTCTAAATCCATTAACACGTATTTGGTAATTGAAAAACACTGTACTATATGCCAAATAAATGATTTATTTATTCTTATTATTATATCATCATCATCATTTATATGCCATTTGGGGACTTCACACGTTTTTCGAGGGTTGTGAACCTTCTTCGTCGTGCAGGATTCATCACGATATTTCCCTTCACGTGAACCTTCTTCGTCGTGCAGGGTTCATCACGATATTTCCCTTCACCAAAAAGTACATGATAAATTTGCAATTAAATTACGCACAGAAATTCCGAAAAACTCAGAGGTGCGAGCTAGGATTCAAACCCACGGTCACCACGGCTGGACCATATTATTATTTATGTATTCATTTTATTAAAAAAAAAATGATACAAACATATTACATATATTATTATTTTTCCTATGGTTACCAAAATCTTCATGTTGAGATATTTCATACCTCTTTTAAGAAGTGACATGCAAAAAATTACACACTTATATTTTTTTACACATGATCATAGCATCCAAATATACAATAATTGTGTAGGAAATGAAACTATTTTTACCGGATTTGAAACGAAAAATATTTGTTTTTTCAAACAAACCAACATTTCGGACCCTTTACAGGTCCCATGGTTACGGTTCAGTCAACCGGAAAAAATAGTCTCATTTCCTACGTGTAACAACCGCGAAAACCTAAGAACTCGTTACAATAATTATAATTATATCATTCAATACTGTAGAATAAATAGTTAAATGTGTGTTACACCACTTTTGCGCTGGTAGCCTCTATATACATAGATTGATCACAAAGAAAAATTCCGTCGATCTGACTGGAATGTCTGGATTCTTGGGTTGTAGTTGGGTTTGTTGCCATGCCAGGGCCACCGCTCCGAGCTACTGACCGCGTCAGCAGATTTGACGAGTTTGTTTATGTGCTTGTTACAAATCTTTGTATTGGGCTTACCTCAGCTCAATTTAAAATTTATCCGGTTCTAATACGTTTCATTTTGCTTGGGTCGAGCGGCAGGGTCACTGACTTTATTTCAGAATTTTTTTTTTTACGAAATACGTATAATATATTTGAAAAATGTATATCGTATATTATACGTATTCTATTTAGTTCACTTGATATAAAGAAAATTATTGGATATGTAAAGTACATATTGAACACAGCGGTATTCTTCTAAAATTTCGAGGTAATTTGTGCTTTTTTTTATCGTGAAAATTTTTGGTAATCGTGTTTTTACATCGTATAGTAAATCAGTATACATATATCATTGACTTACAATTATATGGACGTCGGGTCCGCGCTAAAAAGTGTCCGCACTTGTAAGGCGCTAAAATCGTATACAGAGCGCCAAACTCCGCTTTAGTCTTCATTTGTTCGACTGACAGCGCGATACTGCGATGACATTACAATTTAAATTTCGAATAGGTTGACTTGGGACATTTTTTTCGTGGTTTTTGTATTAGACCCGTCGTCCATTTATTTGTAAGTCAATGACATATATCATCAATTTTACTATATATTTATACCAAAGTGATTGATTTAACACTTTCACTGTTATGCGAATCAACCAAAGCCATTGAGGTTACTCTTAAACGATTTTTTTCTTAAAAACTTATTTAAGTTACTCATTCAGCCAGGTACCTTTACAGCACCTAGAAGTTGACGATAACAAACTAGTGAAGTTTACCCAAAAAACATATGAAAATTTTCATGATATCCAATAAATCAACATTACTGTACAAATATACTAATACAGGCCACAGGATATGATATATCTTGATATTCTAGTAAATCAACAGGTTAGTCTTGTTTTAAATTGTGTTGCAACATTCATAATTATCGTAACCACTAGTTCTGTGGGTTATTTTAGAGCAGTTACACACGGCGAGTTTTAACCGCTTCTGCAGCGTTTCAGTCGCGATGCAGTCGCTAATCGTCTACCTTTATACACACGCGCGATTAAAGCAGCGATACTATTGCGATGCACGTTCTTATTTAATTTTTTTTATTAATTTGAATCAGGCAACTATGGCTTAAACAATATCTCTGTGTCGTTCATTTTAATAGTGACTTATCTCCTTGTAACTGAATTATGTCACTTTTCACGTTTATAATGAATATTTAGCAGTTTTCGTTCCATGAATGAAGTAACGCCTTTTTTTAAATATATCAAATGCACAGGATGGTAAGCTACACGCCTGTTCATAACAGTTGCAGTGCTGCTACTCAGAACTTTAAATCGCACGTGCCTGTATTTTCACCAGCACTCTTACCCTTTAAAACTGGGACACAGTACTGCTGACATTACTGCTTGGCGGCAGAAATAGGTAAGGTGGCAGTGCTTCTCTGGACGAACCTTTCACAAGGAGCTCGACTGCTACTAAATTCTTTCGTCTAGGCGTTACTTCACTTTTGAAAGATATGATTAATTAATGTGATACCATTAAGCAACAAATATGCATTATAAATATAGAGTTACACCAATTTTCACTATGAACGACACATATAGCTTAAGGACTAACATATATGTATAAAACATAACGCAAAAATAATGGCTAATCTACATGAATTGCACTTGTCGGCATCGATGCAACCGCCTATAAAACGCAAGTGTCGCGATTGCAATGCGGCTAAAATCGTCGTGTGAACCCCTCTTACTAGCTGTAAACTGGTACTTAGTTATTATATAATAGTTCATGGTACAGTTGACGACGCGTACAGCATACCCAAACATATGTTTCTCTAACATGTATATTGGTATTAAGTATTTCGAATTGCTAATTAATGAGTTAATGAGTTTTATAGTTAAATAATCTCAGTAAAGAGTACTAAAAAAACCGACTCAAAAGTCATTCATCCCCTAGTTTGCCACCCTTAGACATTGAATATTTTCTTCACATTGAAATAGGACCACTACCGAGGTACCCTCTTTCCAACAAAAAAGAATCATAAAAAAAACATGTGTCGAATTGAGAACCTCTTCCTTTTTTTATTTCAATAATATATTTTGTAGGTAAAATTAATTCAAATTAATTTTGAAAAAAGAAAATCAATCAACAGTACTCTCGTCTTTGCACACAGTTTTTCCACTCTTTAAGGCACACACACAAAAATTAAAGCTCCTTGGTATAATAAGGTCATATCTGCAAAATGACAACGTTTCAGGAGAGAGGTTTCAAGATTCTACGAATTCGTTCATAGAATCTTTATTAGTCGATAACTTTTTTATGCTTATATAGGAGTTATAAAATTTCACATATACATAATTTGTTTTACGTAGTTTGTATTTTTGTATCACTTTCATTGATAAAAGCACTTTTGACGTGGTGCTTGATTTTTGGCATCCAAGTTCGTATTGTAAATGGACCGAAGTCCTTGAAAGTTACGCAACATAGTGAGACTTTCTTATTTGTTTCAGATAGGAACAGTCATTTTTGTGTTTGTAAAACTATAACAATTAGTATGTAGGTCAATTACAGTTATCCAACAAATTAATTACTGACAGCAAGACGTGTATAGTACCTATAATTTTATAAAAATTCTAACTTACGAGCTTTTACCGTAATCGGAAATCTTAACGTAATTTCATAAAGCAACTGAATGCTATTATATATTTATTTCCACAAAATCTCGTAAAAAGGTCCCATAAACGTTGTGTCTATCACAGACGTCATCAAAGGTCAACTAACCTTGGCATAGAAATCCTTCGACGATGAACATAACCAATGACCATTATTTCATTTAAAGAGGATTGCGTCATATTCCTTAGCGAGCAATGAATGGTGTGTTACGGAGAAATTACGCAATACGACGTGATTACAAGTGTGCATTATTAAATGACGCAGTGCATTGCACGATTCCAAAGAGGTTTTACAAAGAAGCAATCAAATTAAACTTTTTATAAAGCTACCCATCGCCGCGCTGGCGATGTGATTGATAATGTTTGAGAAGGTCGTAATAACATTTTTTCACTATTGATGCGGACATATGACGGCATTTCGAAATATCTGTACAATTTTTTAGCTAGATTACAATAAGTCAGAATGAACGGAACCTCTTTGGTATTCATTAAAAGGTAGCGTAATTTTGAAATACGAATTTTTAACAAAGAAGAATAGTTTCAAACAACAATCCCATTTAGTGTCTGTGATTTGGGAGGTGATACTGTTTTTAACACTTTCCTTTTTGTTTTTTTTAATGAACAATTCACGTTTATTTAGACGTTTTCAGACGGTTGCAATGTCATAAATAACCAGGGCATAATACGTTGAGGCCAGCGGACAGGTGACGGGGATGATCGCACATAAAAAGTGCGATTTTATCATAAGTCATAAAATAGCACGGACTACGTGGAACAAATTATGTAATAGTGAAATTTTATAAATCTCCTACTTAAGCGTAAAAAGTTATCAACTAATTTCATTTTTAGGGACCTCTCAACTGAAAAGTTGTCAATTTGCAGATGTGGCAACAAAGGAGTGCGAAATTTTTCCTTTTTTTTGGTTTTCATTCCACCTATTTTCTTATTTTTTATTTTGACTTCGGCACAAAGTAGTCTAGCACCATTAAAAACAGTACAGAGTACTAAAAAACCGTCCTCAAAAGTCATTCATCCCCTAGTTTGCAACCCTTAGAGGTGGAATATTTTCTTAAAATTTTAATGGAACCACGTCTGAGGTACCCTCTTTCTAACAAGAAATGAATCATCAAAATCAGTTCATAAATGAGTTATTGCGTGATAAAAAAAAACATACAGTGGAATTGAGAACCTCCTCCATTAAATAAAGTAAATGAAAAGAAATAACTATTGAAATTCAATCAACAAATACGTTACATTAAACAAATAAGTTACAAGTCAGAGGGTAATTTTTTTTTAGGTAAAATTACGGCTTACTGCGTAGATGAAATCTATCGGTGCAATTAAGCAAATCAAACAATAATTATAATACTGCGGTTTCTACTTCAGTTGAGCTAGGTAATGAAGCATTAAAAAAATTATATGATTATGAGCATTTTGAACGCGAAATGCACGACTAATTTTATATATTATTAATAAATTTATATATTTATAGAGCATTGACTACAGAGTCATTACCTTGAAAAAGTAACAAATAATTTTATTAAGACACTCGAAACACAATATGTATACATAAACTAACGATTAATTTGTGCAAAAATAGTAAATACAAACATCCGCCATTTTTTCTTGGTGAGCGATTAATGTGAATAAACTTTGTTTTTTTTTAAATAATGCAGGTTTAGCATTGATAGAGACTAGAGATTAAACTCGCGAAGGTAGAGAAATTTTTCTCTTGTCTTAGGAAAATCCCGCTACTCCAGCATTAGTGTGCGCGATTGTGATATTCTTCCTCATACTTTGTCTATCGACGCGGAATCGCATTAATTTGGTCAGGAGAAGCGTCATCTCCATGTAGTAAGAGCGAAAAAGATACGCGTTTACACGGCGGAAGCAGAACACGCAGCGTATTTTTCGCCGTCTTTTTTTCAATTACACGGACATAAAACTTTTTTATTTATTTATTATTGTTGGTTACTATAATACACTATAATAATAATCACAACTATTTTTTTGCAATTTGTGACAACCCTAACACTTTTGCGTATGACAGCGTAAGTATACCTACACGGGTGGCGGTATCTTCGAACATCAAAGGCGTTGCGCTATTGTAGGGAAGATAGATATATGGTGAAATAGAAAAAAGAAAAACAGACTTACCAAATCCTTTTCCTGTTCGTTTGAATCTAATTCATTGTCCCCATCGACTCTTTTCAACCGCAGCTCCAAAGGCGCGCTGAAAGCGTTTCCCAGCAACGAGACCACTAACAAGATACATAGACGTCTTTGCTCCATCGCGATGCTCACACCAATGACGATATTCGGCGACGTTTCTGAATTGTCATTGAAATATAGATCGTTAACAAAACCAGTAATGGAATGCGTTTGGAATAATAGATAATTAATTAAGTTATAATGCAGGTAATTTACGTATGGGACAGTGTAATTAATTAATTGTTCAGTAATAAGCTTTAGGTTTTTGAATGTAACTTAATTACAGCAATTAAGAGTGATGAATTTATAATGCATTAAATGTAATTGTCACAATTTGGTAATTTCTATATGTAGTTAGTTGATGAAATAACTATTTAGCGTTGTTACGTGATTCATACAACTAATTCATATTAGTTCATTGAACTGAACAGCAAATCAGAGTAGTAACAGAATTCTACTGTGTCGAAGGGTCTCTTTTGAAACAATTGTAATTTTAGTCGTTGAAAAACCAAATACAAAGGTACGACAAGCACATAGAAAAATTCGTGAGGTCCGCTGGTTCATTCCGTGGCTTAGTTGGTATAGCGTCTGGCACGTTATGCTAGAAGACGTCAATTCGAATCCGACCGGATCGAAGGATTATTTCTGAGTGTTCGATCTTTGTATTAATAATTATAACAAACTAGTGGAGTAATTTCACATAAAAATAATTGAATATCAATTCAATATAAATTTAAATCGTAAATTTGTTTTGACTTCAGACGTTTGTGTTTTTGTTTTACGTTGTATTTTGACAGGTTTATACTACATTATTTTGTATTCATTATTGTTAGTCACGATCATATTATCCCCTGAGACATTGTTATTGTGATATTGATAATAAGAAATAAATGATTCTTTTCTATTTCATTGTACCCAAACCAGAACCGATTTAGAAAAGTTAATTTCTCAAATTGGCCCTACTGGGAATCGAATCTAGGACCTCCTTATCCAGCGCCCACAGCGCAAACCGTTCGTCAGAGGTCTTCAAAATATGAAAGCTGTTTATTGAAATGTTGAGACATACGAGAACGGTTAAAAAGTAAAGATGACCATGCATGGCTACTTTTTAATATAATTTTGGTCACTAACCTGACGTATTTGCTGTTTATTATTATTATTGATTCATTGAGCATAAGCTACCAGTTTAAAAAGATTATTAAGAAACTCAAAATTATGCTTAGATTAAAAATTCATTCATTTAAAATCTGTAACTACAAAAAATGGCCCTTTTTTCAGTTTTTTTAGGTTAATGGTTCACTTCATTGACCTACCAACAAAGATCACTTACAGTTATTACAATGTAACATACCGTAAATTATAGTTGGTGAACATGTTATCTAAATTGCACACCTATTTATGAGTGAACACAGCCTGCAAAAACAACGTAAATAAATGTAAATTAACTTGAATTTAAAAACAGCGATTTCCCTTTTTTAAGGTAATACAAACAAAAATAACAAATACAAATGAATTAAGGTCTCGGACAGTATCAAACTAGACGAGGGAAAAAAAGTTGAAATAAAAAAGAAAAAGAAAGAGTTTTGAGAGAAAAATTAGTGTCACTTTCGTTTATTACGTCTCGCTTTGCATGGGCAACAAGTCGAAAGAAAAAATGAGCAACTTATACTTTCTTCTACCAGACTAGTGAATCTCTGAAAAAAACTTCGGGTTCCTGTAGTGTTTACAAAACCTAATATTCAGCCAAGTATTATGACGTTTTGAGTTTCTTAATTATTTGTAACCTGTTTAAGTTGATGGCTCTATAGTCAATGCTCAATAAATACATAATAATAACTAGTAAATCTGTAACAAAAAGAGTAAGCTATACATTGATTTACAATTATATGGATGTCGGGTCCGCGCTAAAAAGTGTCCGAACTTATAGGGCGTTAAAATCGTATACAGAGCGTCATTCACGCTTTAGTCTTCGTTTCTTCCACTGACAGCGAAGCAAGCAAAATTAGACAGTACTGCGATGACATTACAATTTAAATTCAACGTTTTAGCTTTTTCATATTCCTTTACATGTCACTACGTTTAAATAGGTTGACTTGGGACATTTTTTTCGTGGTTTTTGTATTAGACCCGTCGTCCATTTATTTGTAAGTCAATGAAGCTATATAATTTTTTATTTATTAATGAACGGCAAAACGTCACGATATAGGTCAGATTTTTTTTAATCGGAAACAGGCAAACGAGATTTCTTAACAGCCACCCCTCGCACATTCAATTGCATGTTTCCTTAATCTGTCTTTTTTGAAAACGGAGTAAAATGACAGGTTACTCAAAAGTGTTAAATATATAGCCGAACTTGCTTCATTTGAATCATCCAATTACTGAGCACAGCTCCATTTGAATTGTCAATTTTTGTAAGTTCATACTTACGTACACTGTATTTAGAACTATGTTTATGAAAAATACAAAGTTAAAGTTTTTAATTTTAATTCAATATAGATAACCAAATCTGGATATTCTTGTTAAAATGTATAAGAATAAAAATTAATCTCGATACTAGTGGTCAACTGTCAAAATGAGAATAAAGAAGGCAATAACGCAATTAATAATTATTAGAACGTCCTAACACTCACAATTCAGTCATGTTTGACAAAATTTTGTCTTCTTTCACAATCTATCGATAAAACTATTCACAACAACTACATAACTATTAAAAATCTTATGAAAATTTGCAACCCTACAAATGTCATTTTACTCCGTCTTCAAAAAATACAGCCTATAGATTGCTAGAAATAGAAATGAATCTCTTTCTTCTGACTTTTATATTACAACAATGCAACATGACAGTTAATGTAAATTATAATGGGCTCCATATTGGCTTTGTACACATAATTGCAAAACTAATAAATAGTAGCAAAACCCACTCAGTTTCAACAATTAGTATAGTAATTGTCATACCTAACAACAAGTTTTCAATTCTAAACAGGTACGTTTCATTACGTAAACTCATATTTATTATTGTTAATTAAAAAAATTGAGCTATGTATGTACAGAATGAACACCACACGCTTAATTCAACCACGTTCCACTAGAATACTCATATTATAGTTAATATATTAACCTTTTACAGTCCACTGTTAGGTATGCTGCCCTCCTTATGATAACTAACGCATAGACATTTTTAGTGAAATTTTGTAATTAACATGATTGTATTTCACGGGATTTGCTACTCCATGTAATCGGTTTTTGAATATCTTATTTTGTTTAAGTTTTATTGCTAAGCAAAATCAGCGTAAAGGAAGTTTTCAAAGAAAAAAATCTTTGAAAATATTTCGATAGTTACAAGAATGCATATCGTCAGCTAAATTCCGAAACCTAGTTACTTCCATTAATGTGATCTTTTGAGTAGGCACAAAAAACAGAATTACTAGATATAATTAAAAAATGTTTGAAAATATTTTGAAAGTTACCAAAATGCATATCGTCGGCTAAATTCGAAAACCTAGTAACGTCCATTAATGTGAACTTTTGAGTACACACAAAAAACGGAATTACCTACTATAAATAATTATAGAAGAATATATGATTAAACGTTTATTATATAACTAAAAGAAGATGTACAAATTATATTTTAAGTTTTAATTTAAGAGTAAAAAAGAGATCTCGTCCAGAGACGGAGTCATGAGGTTTTCAAATTTAAGGCAGTGTGCCTCTCGAGAGAATCTTATCTAACCAATATAAGAAGACTAATGCATTACCAACCTGGAGCGAACAAATACCACAAAAGCACAAAGTTTTCAATTAACACTTAAAAAAATACTTTGTTGTTTACAAAGTATTCTACCTCCCTTTGCTGTTTACATACGCGCACTGAACGAAAACAAACCAACTTGACTTTAAAAAAAAACTCGAATGTTACACTCACTTAGTTTCTACTTGAAAACTGGATTGCGTCAATTCCAGCCTTGTAAATAAGAATTATAAGAAAATATCTACTTTTTCTGCCATAGATTTACACAGAAAGTTTTTTATATTTTATTTATATAAAACTTATATTAAATCTTATAAGGATGCATCTAATTCAAAAGCAAATACAGCCAAGACTCTATACATGTTACTGGACGCTAGTGAAGCAAGTAATATCTTTATAACGTGCACGCGGTTCCCGCCACATATACAGCATGTTGCGTTTGAAAGTTTTCTTTATTTATTTATTCAGAATAGTCCACATACAAAATATTACACATTAAATAAATATTGAACATAACAGCTTTAAACTAAGTGCTTCTACACTTAAGGAACATCACAGTATATAATGATGACAATATACAAATGACATATTAAAAAAGTAGCGCAAAAAAAGTCGTTACTTGAAAGGGCGCATATGACGAAAACTGATAACTGAGAAAATAATGTTTAAAGAAACGAAGTTGAAAAATATCTTATTTTTCCTGTAGTAACTTCATACTTTATCTACTTAGGAGAAAATAAAACAAGCAAAATATTGGCCTTCTTTATTTTTACATAAAAAAAATTTGAAAATGTCACATACGCCCTTTCAACTGACGGCGACAGAATATATTGTTGTCTGACACTATGTACGCCTATAACTAATCAATCTAAATATTATAATATAAATTAGTTTATAGCAATTTACTTAAAATTCACAAATTTAAAAATTGAAACTTAATGTATAAATTCAGAGGAATTGCAAAGCACAAAAAAATAATGTGTTAATGAAATTAACAATTGGTTTAAATTAAATGGGTGTAAGGTAACTGATGTTATATCTATGATGTTATTATTATCTATGGGTACTATTTATAAATAGGTACTGGTACCTATTCGGTAAAAATATGTGAAACGTGGACAAATGCCACAAGAAGTGATGAAATTTTGTAATTTTCTAAATTTATCAACGAATTGAAAATAAAAACTAGCAAATAACATTTCGTACCCATTGTGTAATAAAGGTACATGTGATCATCAATGAAAAAGCTCTTGTCACATGAAAGTCGTAAAAATTACGAATTACGAAACAATTTATGCATTTGTGAAATTGCATAACTCTCCTATTTAACGCGCGCCTAAAGACACGCGGTGTTACTGACGTTTTTGTTTTTTTTTAATTTCCATAATTTCTTGATTAATTTATTTAAAATATTGGTGGATAAGGACACAGCTGTGCATTCCAGACAGCGTGTGGCGCTAGGACGCCACAGTACCAAATCGTTAGGGACACCGTATGTCTCGCGGACGCGTGATAGACGGGTTAAATCATTAAATGTTAAAACATTGTTCACGAAAATAACATAGTAACCGCGTAATCTACTCACATCGTCTTCTAATTCGTAAGCAGTATTTGTTATTTTATATGTTTTTGTTGAAATTAACTATACTAAATAGGTTCTGGACTGGGTGTTCCGGGTCTCGGAGTGAATTCCATTGCTGGCACTTATGGTACAGAGCATTTATTAGTTAGAGACCTGGTAATTGGTGTGGTTGTCAGGCATTATTGTTATTACTCCATTAGATACAGAAACATGTAACCCACAACCTCTCCAATTCTTGTAACTTTATCTACATATTAGTCGAGTTACAAGAATTGGAGAGGATGTGGTTTATATTTTTCTGTATGTAATGGAGCGAAAAATGTTTTTAACGTAACTCCACTTATGCCATTCTTCCACGAGGGGTGCGATATGTTGATCTGTACCAAAATTAATTAAAGCACGGAAATCGCAATCAGCGACTGTACATAAACACTAGTCCCGAGACCTTATAGAACAATCAGTTTTCCATATTGACCTGGCCGAGAATCAAACCCGGGACCTCAGCGATGTCGACACCATAAAAACTGGTGTGCAAGACCACCGAGGTTGTCAAAATTTATTTTATTATTATTTCGTTCATTATTATTATGTCTTAACAGACTAAAATTTTGTGATCAAGTAGGAGTTTAAAATAAAACATTTAATATAGAATATAAAGTTTATTTTGAAGTGGTAAGTTCGCACCCTTGGTGTTAAGGTCATATAAAAACACAAAATGATAACTTTTCTGGATAAGTTTAAGAATATATACTACTTCAAATAGCTTTATTTGGTTCCGCATAACAATGAAGGTGTTGAATCAATGCAAAAATATATAGTAAAATTGAGGATGATATATCCTCGCATTCGCATTACTTTCTCAGGGTCGTATTCTAGAACTCTACTCAATGCTCAAGTCAGGATTTGAGTATGGTTTAAAGCACTCGAAATCATACTCAAGTCCCTGCCATTAGGGTCGTATTTCCAGTGCTCGTGTTGCCAGTGCAATCCTGACTTGGGCATTGAATAGAGTTCTAGAATACGACCCTAAAACTCGTATGTTATAAAGAATGATTATTCAGGCGACAGCAAAACTTTCTATTTATTTTAAATTTATTATCAAGGGTGTTAATTTGGATGCTTTACTTTAAGAATAAGTAAAAGCCAGTACGTGAATATGAAGGGAATGTGATGTGAAATCAGACAGCAAAATTGGTATATACAATCCATTTCTTGCATTTCAGTAACTTTGTGCTTTAAGACACGAGTTTGTGAAAGTAAGGCGACGATGTACTGATTACTATACGATGTGAAAACAGGATTCCTAAGAATTTTCACGATAGAAAAAACGCACAAATTTACTTCGAAATTTTACAAGAAAACCGCTGTGTTCAATAGTTCTATAGGTATATATCAATTTTTTTTTACATGAACTGAATTAAAAAGAACCCGCATACGATTTAATGAACCACTCTAAAGGAGCTCTATTGCCACTTAAAAGTTTAAGACTAACAAGTAAGTTCGTATTATTTTCATGACTTTGATCTAATAAAAATATTTTTGACGTATGATCGACATACGGGTTAAGTATACCAAGAATAAGAGTCTTTATTGTTAGATCTAAGACCGTGTGACCGCTTTTTTTGGGGCCTCTATCAGAACGACCTTGATTTTTAGATAGCATTGAAAAAAATTGCACTTCACAAAAAAAAACAACTTGCAAACGCATGGTCACACATTAAAGTACTCTTTATTGTCAGTTTATTATTAGTTTATATTTAGGTTACAAACGATGTCAAGTTCTAGTATGACAGGTTTTTAGTGTTACTTAACTGATATTGAAGTTAAAAAAACACTTCAAGACGACGAGATGATCTGGCCGACGAGACTAATTAATACTACTTACACGATTTGTATGAACTTTAGTAGCAGTAGAGCACCTAGTGAAAGAGTTTGTCCAGGAAAGTATTGCCACCTTACCTATTACTTTTTTATTTTTTTTATAATAACGCACACACTCAACATAGTCCCGCACTAGGGAAACCCTGTGTCGCGGGTGCTATGGACACACACATAGACAACCACAAATTACATCCAAACTCACGAGAGAAATAAATGTAGGCCGTACAAATATTTCTCCCGGCCTGGGAATCGAGTCTGGGACCACTGCGTGTAACCGTTCGGCCATAGAGGCAGTAAAATAGTTCTGTTGTTATTGAAAAGACAGATATATTGAAATTTAGATATAGTCAAATAAGCGGTAGCGGCGTAGCAGTCCGGCATGGTAATCGTTTGGCCACGGAGGCAGTTCTTCTGCCGCCAAACAGTAACGGTAACGTCATTGCGTTCCGGTTTTGAAGGGTAAGGGTGCTGGTGAAATTACATGCACATGGGACTTTTCAATCTGTCTCAGGGTGTCTTTCTGAGTGACATTGCAACTGTTATACACGCGTGATGCTGACTTGTTCAATGTTCGTCAATTATTATCATAAAAACAACCGACTAAGACATTTCACTTGAAATGTATTTATTTATTTATATTTGGGAATTATAACAGCTCAAATGACATAAATGTAAAATTAACAAAATATTCACAGCAGCGATCCTATACAAATTTCCTCGACTATTCTAAATATTTAAGCAGTTCTTTGATATGTAAAGTTCTGTGTGAACTGCTAGGTACAGGCTTGTCGTTTGCCACCACGTGCACGACTACAGGACTAACCACACACATCAGTAGGGTTAGCACGACTAGCACGACAGCGACATAAAGCGCGATATCCTTACGCGATAATAGCAGTATATCGCGCTTTATCTCGCTCTCGCGTAAATCGCGCCCTATTGTGCTATCCCGATAGAGCCAAGCCCCGGGACGTGGACGGGCCGTGCTCTATCAGGGGCTCAAAAAAAATATCGTTGTATACGCAACGACCCCTCCTACGTAAAGCATCGTATGTCGTGTTAGTATAAAATTATAAAATAAATTGTGGTTGTTCATCTAATCGATATCTAGGATTTTATAATACTCGAGCTTTGCCGAATAAAACTAAGAAATGCTAAAGTCAAGTGTTATGCTCATTCCAATGAAATCAAAACTTTAAAACGCTCCCCTGTAAACTTGGCAATTTCGACATGCGATATTTTACGTAGGAGGAGTCATAGTTTGTATAAATTTTTTCACACATGTCCGTTTCCTGGCCGGGAGGGCCCGGGATTCATACAAACTAGCACCGCCCGTCCACGTCGCTCCATTCGTCCTGTCATAAAAAAACACCTTCATTTGTTTTAAAGCAGCCTGTACATAGAGGCGTGGAATCCTGAAGGTCCTTATTGCAGCACTTGTATTGCTCAACAACCGTGTTACGTTACTACACTGCGTTTGATTTGGATCGGCCCTCGGTGACACGCATCATGGACGGAACACCTACATCCCAAAGTGTTTATAAACCATTATACCGTCTGATGTCCTATAGTGTGGTCGAGGTAAACGCGACTGTTAACGGCATTGCAAAGTTGGAATGCAGTAGAAAAG